CGGAGACTTCTGTTCCCTCGGGCTGCGGATCCACCTCCCGGCAGTGCAGCGAGGCGATGGGCGATTGGGGGGTGGGGGTGTGAACCTCTGCCCTCTTTCCATTGGCCTGCCTTCCCTCGGGGGTGCCAGAGGCAGCGCCCTGGGATCCAGCGGCAGGTGGCGACGGCTTGCTCGGTACCCCTTCTTTGTGAGAAGAGCAGAGAAATGGCCGAGGTCGGAAGCAGGGAGCAGTTTGGGGCGCTTCTCAAAGTTCTCCAGCCGGCGGGTGCCTACCGGAGGCTGGGGCCCGCACCTCTGGTCCGGCTCCGCCGCTTCTACCCTGCCAGCTCTGGGGGGAAAGGCCGCCAAGGGACCGCAGGAGGCCAGCGCCCCGGGGAGGGGGTCCAAAGACTCACTTTGTGTGGTGTTTACACTGGGGACGGACTGGGTGCGGAAGGGACTGGGTAGAGAAGTTACCTGGAATCAACTGAATTCCTGCACTTGCTTAGTGTTGACATTTGAATCAAGTCCAAGATGTCCTGCTTTTTTTTTTTTTTATCCTGGGCAGCCGTGACATGTCAGCAACAGGCGGAGGTTCCGGACCTGGAATCTTATAGCAAAGGCTCCGCTGTATTTCTTGAGAGAGGGTGTCTGAACTTCCTCAGGATCCGGGGCACAAAGCGATCTGTTTATGAGATCCGGCAAGGGTTGCTGTACGGTGCGTGTTGGCATTTTGCGTGAATGTACGCGATGGTTAAATGTACGCCGTATTTACTGTCACTTCAAGGGTACTTGGGTGTTTTAGTTCTGCAGAAAGGGGGCCTGGGCGTGCAGGAACTCCATGCAAAGCATCTGTGCATTTCCCCATGTGGAAATGCTGGCACATGGTCAGGAATGGATATGTTTATTTTCCCTTGTCACTACTTGAATGAGCAAAATGCAAGCGCACAAGAGACCCCCAGAGGACGAAAGATTAGTAGCTTGTTCCCTTTTGCTGTTGAGGCTGGAAAAAAAGGAGCGAGTTCAGGAAAGTGCTGCGGTCAGCCTAGGAGTGGCCCTGTGGGAGAAGAGGACCTGGGTGGGTATCCCAGGCCCGTACCCCAAGGGTCCCCAGCTTGGCACCCGGTCAGTTGGCACCCTGCCTGCCCAAACTCTGTGGGCATAGGAGAAAGCCCCCTGGATTGTCAGGACCCTCCCCTCCCCCAGACTGGCCTCATTCTGGGCTCAGCGATATGATATCAATTTGTGAAAAGTAAAAGTTTACAGGGGCTCTGCACCTCCGCACTCTGCCGAGGTCACTGAAGGGCAGGCCTTGGCGATTTGACCTTTCCGCGCTGCCTTGAGCCTGTGCTCAGGTTAGGCGCCAATGCCCAGGACAGGCCGTCTGGCCACTTTGCCCACTTTGGGCCCTCTCCCTCCCAAGCAGGAGCTGTCTAACAGAGAGGACTTTTTACAGCGGGGGGATGTTTCCCTTTTGCAGGATTTTCTGCCTTTGTCATTTCAGCACTCACCTGTTTAAATGTCTTTTTCCTGGCTGCCCCCACCCCCATCTTTCCCACTGTCAAACTCCTCTGCCAAAAACAAAAATAGCTTCAGAGTTTTCATCTGTAAGGCGTCCACGTCCTAGTAAAACCCCGGCATTTAGGCATGCGCAGTGCCATTGGCTGGAAATGGGGCCGCACTGTTGTGCCTGTTGCAGGAATTCATACCCAGGTCGGCCCTAGGAGGTGTCGGTGCCCATCAGGGGGCCCACGCTGCAGTGAGAGCCACCGGAAGCCCTGCTTCAGCCTGCCATGCCTGCAGGGTTGTGTGGAGGCATGGCTGGGGTGGCTGCGGGAATGGTATCCGGTGGGACTTTTCCTCCCCTTCCAAAACCTGCATGTTCCCCCCCACAACACACACACACACACACACACACACACACACACACACACACACATAAACACACACACACACACACATACACACACACACACATACACACACACACACACGCAGAAAGTAGCAGTGGGGTAATTGCTCCTTTTTTTGATACCTTTTACTAGGGGTCAGGGCATGTGCCCCCTCCTGGTTGTCAAGTAACACTGGAGGCATCATGGCCTTTGCCCTGTGGTGGGGGAGAAGGGACATGGGGAAGCAGGGCAGTGGCCTGGCCGAGCCCTTGACTCCATGTTGAGACCGCCTGGGTTTAAAGCTCTCTGCCCACTTATTACATCACCTCGTACAGCTCCTCATGCTCCGTCTTCCTCATCTGCAAAATGGGGGCAGCGATGGTGTCTGCCCCTCAGGTTGTTGGCGGGGCCAGTTGGGATGGTCCATGCAGGCATGTGCCACTGTGCCCGGCACCAGCAGGCCTTAGGGAACCTCCGCTGCTGTTCTTCTCACAGGGGGACCCAGAGAAGCGGTTAGCGCCATTGCAGGCTCAGACTGCTAAGGTGGGGTCCCTGTCCCCCCTTCCCGACCACTGCATATTAGATTCTTCCCATGCTGCTGTGGGGAAGGCATGAGAGAGTCCAGAGGAGACAGGGCCGTGCCTGGCCTGCAGTAACTGCCCAATTACTGTGAGCCGTGATTGCTAAGAAGACACAAGAAGCATCTGTAATCCAGGCCAGAGGAGACGGGTGCTAGAGATGAGGGGCAACGCCGTATGGGAGCCCACAGGAGGAGAGAATTTCATGGTGGCAGAGGTGGGGCACCACAGCGAGGGTGAGGGCCAGGTGGGAATCTAAAAGGGCTGGAGGGGGAGGATGTTGCCAAGAGGAGGAAGGGAGCATGCCCAGAGACAGACCCCCACAGGTCTGTGCGTGAGCCGTCTGTGATCTCGCTGCTGGAGGGAAATGGGCGCGTGTTACCCGGGGCAGGATTGGTAAGCCAGGAGCCGGCTGTGGGAATGCTGCAGTGCTGGGCCCGGTTTGGATTTGATTTTGGAAGCTGTGGGGTACGGCCATCAGAGCAAGGCTTAGGGAGATGACTGAGCAGCATGGATTTCTGGGGAACAGGAGAAACGGGGGTGGGGTAGTGGTGAAGACAAGCAGGCCAGGGGGAAGGAGGCCTGAAGGGACTGGGACCTTCATGAGGGTAGTCAGAGCCATGGTCTCATTATTTGGCGACTCTTTGGGTGGAGCAATGAGGAAGGAGGCCAAGGTGACAGGCCTGGGGTCAGGGATGCTGAGAGTAAAGGGAGAAGAGCAGCTTCTTGCAAGTAGGGAGACCCAGCTAAGCCTGTCCTGTTCCAGGGCATCCGGTGGGAAAGGCCAGTGGCAGCCCAGGAGTGAGAGGAGGTACAGACATGAAAAGCATAGAGCTGGGAGTCAGGAGAAGGAAGCAGGTTTGACAAGGAGAGATGGAGCTCAGATCCCATGATAAGGCTCACCTCTGCCTCATTTCTTTCTTTTTTTTAAAAAAAAACCCCACTTTATTTATTAATACTTTTCTATTGATTTCAGAGAGGAAGGGAGAGGGAGAGAGAGAGATAGGAACATCAATGATGAGAGAGAATCCTTGATCGGCTGCCTCCTGCACACCCCCCACAGGGGACTGAGCCCACAACAGGGCATGTGCCCTTGACCGGACTCAAACCTGGGACCCTTCAGTCCACAGGCTGACGCTCTATCCATTGAGCCAAACTGGCTAGGGCATCCTCATTTCTTTAAACACAGAATCCAACCAACTGCATTCCAGAGGCCCCCAATAATTCTGAGTCAGGATTGGTTCTGAGTGATCGATTTAGGATTCGTGAACACGAGTGTGTTAACCCCAAACAGTTTCCCGTCATGTTACGTGTGTTTCTGTGTCACCACATGGCTATCCACAGATGGTGTACGTTTGGGGATTGCAGAGCCATCTCACTGTTGTCTTTAAAAAACCAGGTCTGGGAAGGTAAAACTGTTTCCTAAAGCCAAATATAATTCTCCCAGCCATTGCTCCCTCCGTGCAGGCAGGGGGTGGGGAGGGGCGTGCACAGTGTGGTCAGAGAGCGGTAGGGGAGGAGACCAGGAACTGCCTAGGGCCGGGTGGGGCCAGGTGACAGAGGCTGGCATGGGGAAGAGTATTGTTATATAACCCACGGGAGCTAAGGATGGTGGGCAGATGGAGACGGGAGGCGAGGAATCTGGAGATGGCAGTGAGCGTGGATCAGCTTCCTCTGGGAGGGAGAGGGGCAGTGCATGGGAGGCAGGTGAATGAAGAATCCCAGAGTCCTTCACAGGTGGGGAGGGGCCCCTGCCCAGCCTCAGAGCCTGGCCCGTCTTCCTGTCATGGTTCTGAGGGTCGTGATTGGACACTAGGTGGCTGGCTGTCCCAGAGAGTAACACTCCCGTGGGGACAGCCTTCTTTATTGGACTTGGGGACAGAGCTCCACCGAGCCCTGAGCCTGCTGTAGTCACCGGCCATCTCACAGAACATTCCAGGCTGGGCAACCCCAGCCTCCTCACCAGCGAGGAGTGGAAAGAAAGTGTTCCCCTGAGTTCCTTCATCCACACCCCATTCCTGATTGCCCTGGTGGGTGAAGAGAGAAATAAAAATTAGCATGTTTATTCCACTTTGAAATTCGTTTAATGAGAACTCATTTACCCTCTCCCGATTTGAATTCGCAAGAAGGCCATAACCTTTCAGAGCTGATTATTTCCCGGGTCTTCCCCCATCTTCCTGCAAAAGAGGCGTTCCCTCCACATGCTCTGAGCCCTCTCGGAACTTGACAATTCGTCAGGCAGGTGGCAACATCTGGTGATCCACATGCCGCACCCCCGTGCTAGGTGCACTCCCCACGGGAGGACAGAGAACTGTCCTCTCTCGGGTGGTCATTTCTGTTTAATTCATTTGCTTTCAAGACGTTTACTGTTTCCCTCACCAGTGACCCTTCCCAGAGTCCCACGTCCCACATGCCCATCAGGACTCACCTGGCTCTCTGCTCTCTCCTCCTGTCTCCCAGGGGTCACTGCACTGAGTCCAAGCTGGTGTGCACAGTCTGCGCGGTGGCCGCCCCGGCGCTGGAGTCACCATGGCGGCGGGAGTGGCAGCCTGGCTGCCTTTTGCGAGGGCTGCGGCCATCGGGTGGATGCCAGTGGCCAACTGCCCCATGCCCCTGGCCCCGACCGACAAGAACAAGCGTCAGGACGAGCTGATCGTGCTCAACGTGAGCGGGCGAAGGTTCGAGACCTGGCGGACCACGCTGGAGCGCTACCCGGACACGCTGCTGGGCAGCACGGAGAAGGAGTTCTTCTTCAACGAGGACACCAAGGAGTACTTCTTTGACCGGGACCCCGAGGTGTTCCGCTGCGTGCTCAACTTCTACCGCACCGGGAAGCTGCACTACCCGCGCTATGAGTGCATCTCGGCCTATGACGACGAGCTGGCCTTCTACGGCATCCTCCCCGAGATCATCGGCGACTGCTGCTACGAGGAGTACAAGGACCGCAAGCGGGAGAACGCCGAGCGGCTGCAGGACGACCTCGACTCGGAGAACAACCAGGAGTCCATGCCCTCGCTCAGCTTCCGCCAGACCATGTGGCGCGCCTTCGAGAACCCGCACACCAGCACAATGGCCTTGGTCTTCTACTACGTGACTGGCTTCTTCATCGCCGTCTCGGTCATCACCAACGTGGTGGAGACGGTGCCGTGCGGCACGGTGCCCGGGAGCAAGGAGCTGCCGTGTGGCGAGCGCTACTCGGTGGCCTTCTTTTGCCTGGACACGGCGTGTGTCATGATCTTCACTGTGGAGTACCTCCTCCGGCTCTTCGCCGCGCCCAGCCGCTACCGCTTCATCCGCAGCGTGATGAGCATCATCGACGTGGTGGCCATCATGCCCTACTACATCGGCCTGGTCATGACCAACAACGAGGACGTGTCGGGCGCCTTCGTCACGCTGCGGGTCTTCCGCGTCTTCCGGATCTTCAAGTTCTCCAGACACTCGCAGGGCCTGCGGATCCTGGGCTACACGCTCAAGAGCTGTGCCTCCGAACTCGGCTTTCTCCTCTTCTCCCTCACCATGGCCATCATCATCTTCGCCACTGTGATGTTCTACGCCGAGAAGGGCTCCTCTGCCAGCAAGTTCACAAGCATCCCTGCCTCCTTTTGGTACACCATTGTCACCATGACGACACTGGGGTAAGTGGGTGCTGGTGGCCTGGAGCAGGGCCGTGGCAATGGGGCGGCGCAGCCCTGGATGGTGTCAGGGTTGGCAGAGAGGATGGAGAGGTGTATCTAACATGTGTCACAAGGAAAGTTGCCTGATCACAAGGGGAAAGCACATGAGTGATTCGTTTGGGGGCAGTGGCTTGCTCCGAATTGAGCGTTCTTTAGGTGTATTTTATAAAACTTAGAAAGTTAAGTCACCGTTTCTTTTTTCGGCCATACATTCTGTGCGTTTGTGTGTGTTGGGGGGTGGGGAGGCAATGGCTGCATTTTATTTACATCTGTGCATATAAAGAAGAGAAACAGGGCAGCCGGTGGGGAGGAAAAGGCTGTGAGGGTTTGGTGAGTATCGCAAGGAGGGGACATACTTCCATTAACGGAAGACACCGGCAACACTCTTTTCGGACCCTTCCTGCATTTGTTTGTAGCATATTTGCAGGCTGACTTCCCTTTTGCCTTACTTGTCCTTTCTGCTATCCCGGATGCCCAAGGGTTCCATAGCCCCGAGTAGATTTTCTCTAAGTGACTGTGAACTTGGGTTTTCTGAAAAAAGGGGCCCCAGTTTGTTTCTTCCTCGCTGAAGGAGGAGCAGCCTTGCTTTCTCAGCCCACCTCTGTGATGGAATGGCCTGGCTACCTGGGCGATTGTGAGGTAGTCCGAAGGAATCATGTGGTCGGACACAGAAGCGGCGATATTGTCAAAGGGAGGGGCGAGGACGCTCAGCACGGTTGCTGGTGACTCTGTCTCTTCCACCTCCCAGAGGTCCCCTCTCCAACCGAGGTCACAGAAATATATTTATGGTCCTGGGATGTGAAGAAGAAGAAAAAGGGGGCTCAGGAAGGAGAGTACCATTTCCCCCCTAACAGGATTAGGGTCAATGAAGGCAGCTTTAGGGAGACCTGTATTTCTTAGGGTTTCTGCTTCAACCGTTGCAAGTCACTGAGGCTAATGCAAACCCCCTTCACAATTCATGTGCTGGGTCTATATTTGTTTAGGCCAGGAAGCATTATATTGCTGGTGGAGAATTCATGAAGCTTTTTATTTGGTCTTTGACAATTTGTTTGGTGGCGTCCTGGTGATTCGATTTTTTCGTGGCTGAAACCCTGTGGCCGCTGGTGTGGATTTTTCTGTAGTGCAGGGCGTGCTTCTTGGGAATGATTGAACAGGTGACGGGACCTTTTAAAGTGATTACATTTGTCACTCTGCCACATTGGAGGGAGTAGCAAGGGGGCGAGCAAGGGGTGTGTCATTGTCCATCTGTGAAGGCCACTTTGGGTGGGGCATTCCCTTCACCTCTTGTCTGTCTGACAGAGGTCGTCCTGCCCCTCCTCCCACTCTGCCAACACTGTTCCCACCCAGAATGAGTAAGAGTGTCTGCTCATTTGACCTTGTGTTTCTTGGCTCCAGGAGCAGATATGGGCGCTCGGGTCTGATGGGATATTAGGGATCAAATGGGCCAGAGAGCATGCGTGCCCCTGTGTCAGAAGAAGCAGGCATCTTTGTCCTTCCAGGCTGACCCTGGCCATCCCGTCACATGGGAGACCTCGCCCGTGGCCAGGAGCTGCCTGGCTGTGCTTCTGATGTGGCTCTGACTGCCTAGTGCCCTCACGTGCCCTTTGAGGGGCCTCATGACACCAGAGTGATATCTCAGACTGCCGTGGGGAGAAGACAGGGCAGATGGAGGGCAGTGAGAGCTAAAATGGGATTGTTTCAGGGGACACCAGTGGCCGCTTCAGTGGCCACCTGCCTATTACTTTTTATTATTAGAGTAGCAGCATGTGTGTGTCTACTGTCTGTCAGCTGAGTGCTGAGCACTTTGCATATATCATCTCTTTAAGTCTTCACAACAGCCTTGCAAGGTAGGAAAGATTATTTCAAGATGCAGAAGATGAGGCTCGGAGAGGTTAAGTATGTTTCTCGAGTCACATAGCTGATAAGGGCCGGAGCTTATTTTCAGATACCAGTCTGGCTGCCTCCATCCAGTGCCCTTTCTCCTTTCACTCACCACCACTTGTTTCCATGCCATCAGGGCCCGTGGGTGGGAATCAGACCTTCGGAGTTATTACCTTTTTTATTATTCTGGTTGTATCGCGATTCGTGAAAGCATCAGTGCAGTGCACTGCTCTAGGCACACAGGGATTTTATAAATTAAACAGTTCTTTCTGGCCAGTCAAAATATTGCCTTCCAATGAATGCTGCTTTCATAGAAAATCCCAGCATTCTATTGCTGCCGGGCAGACCATGGATTTCCTGTAACCTTCACCCTGTAGGTCAAGGGGCAAGTCCATTGTCAGGGATGGATAGTCTTGACCTCATTTACTGTCTTGGGGGAGAGCAAGAAGCCTGTGCCAGAGAGTGAAGGCAAAGAGGAAGGGAAGGGTACCTCCATGGGAGAAGCATGCTTCCCCTGACTGTGGGCTCCACACCCTTCCTTCCCTCATGCATCCAAATGTCTAGGAGGGCCTGGCTGGTGTGGCTCAGTGGTTGAGCATAGGCCTATGAACCAGGAGGTCATGGTTTGATTCCCGGTCAGGGCACATGCCCTGGTTGCAGGCTTGATCCCCAGTGTGTGTGTGCAGGAGGCAGCCAATCAATGATTCTCTTTCATCATTGATGTTTCTATCCCTCTCTCCCTCTCCCTTCCTCTCTGAAATCAATAAAAATATTTAAAAATATATATCTAGGAGGAGAAGCTAGTGGACAAGAAAGTAGCATCTTCCTTAACCTCATAAGCAGTGTTCTCCTTCCCCTCCACCCTGGCCACCATCGTCTAGTGCTGGATCGGGCTGCTTTGACTGTGACCTGAGTTGCAGTTGGAACCATCACCAGGCTCACTGCTTGGCTAGACATAGCAGGTGCTTGGCAAGATGCTTTTTAAGGGATAAGTCGATGTGAATGGGGCGCCTTTTCCATTTGCTTGGTCTACTATTCTCAGTGCCTTCCAGACCTGCCTGTCCTCTCTCTAGGGTGGACCCTAGATCTGTGCTCTGCCCCAGGCCTGGCCCCCTGGGAGAGAGGAGAGCAGCCTTCACCTGGAGTCTGGCCCATCCCCCGAGATACTCTGCAGCATCGAAGAGGTCTTCTGGCCCTTATCGGAGATCTTACTGACTCGACCCTGGAAGCCTTTATCTGCCCTGGCTGGTTTCTGTCCCGAACACATCCACTGGCTAGCTGTAGGCCTGTGGACCATTCCAGAAAGCTTGTCTGTTTTTTATTCTCTGCTGTCACTGGTGGCTGTGGAATATCAAGGGCCAATATTCTGCCACATGCCACATTCTCTCTGGTTGCTTCTAAGAGCTCCTAGCAGACACCTGTCTCCCAACCCTCCTCACCCTAATCTCTCCCTGGGCTCCTGTTTCCCATTTGGAGAAACCATCTTCAGCTCCTCAGAGCAGGCCTGACCGGCAGGCCGAGGACCATGTGCCCATGGAGGAGGTGGCTCTTCCTGGCTCGGGCTGCCTCTCTGCCTGCTTTCCCAGGACTCGCTGATGAGTGACTCAGGTGTCTTCCGGGGAGGGATCTCCGGGAGCCGATTATTCCCGTTTATTTAATATCTCAAAATATCTTAAACATACAGAACAACAGCTCCACCACCACCCAGGCCCCAGGGTGGCCTTTGAAGCCTCCAGTGCTGGGGGGAGACGCCGGCACCCAGCCCACGCTTCCCTTCTGCCCCCTTGACAGTTGAGCTCCCAAATGCCCTATTAAAGGATTAATTTCTGTGCTCATAATTGATGTTATAAATAGAGTAAATCCTCATTTATCTCCGTTAACAGAGGGAAGGGATAATGCAGAACTCCCAATATTAAATAAGACCAACTCATCTTATTTGGGGAATTAGTTTGGGAATGTATTATATGTCGCAGGCTTTTTCAAAGCCGATTTTCCTTCTTAACTTTGTTTGACTTTGCTTGGGATGACAATTGGCCTGGTGCCTGAGTCCGTCTGTGGGTGAAGCCCTGGGGGCGGCCGTGGGGAAGAAGGGCGCATCCGGGGGCGGGGGAAGCCTTGTGAGCGGACATCCACCAGGGCCATCGAGGGCCAGCTCCGGGCCCAGCTCCAGGCCCAGATGGGATGCGGTCCTCTTGGATATCTTTGGGAGGGGAAGGCGGTTTGGGAAGGGCAAGGGGCAGTGTCGCTCCTGGTGAGATGCCCAGTGCTCCTGGTTGGCTTGGTTATGTAATTGTGACCAGCAGCCTCTGCCACCACATGCCCCATGATGAGAGAGCTTCGACAGTGTCCAAAAATCACTTTAACGACAGCAGAATCAATTTTTACTTCTTCCAAGCATGAAGCAGCCTCCGGGTGATTTGCATTTCCCTTTAAAACGTAATCCTGGAGGGGGCTTGCCTGAGGTTTTGGGAGACGGGAGCCGAGCCTGGGAGATCAATGCAGGCACAGCACAGAACGGGGTACTTGATTGAGCTCTGAGATCTGTTTGTGTTAACCCTTCAATCCCTAAAATTCTGGCTGCACCTTCATCCAGTCTCTGAGTGCCCCCAACTCTCGTCCCAGCTCCCAAGTGCCTGGGCCCGGGACACTGGTCAGTAGTTCCCGCCTGGATGGTGGAGGGTCCCTGCCCAGGGCATCTGATCGAGTGCACTTACTGGGAATGATTGGCCTCGATGTCTTTTCTTGGTTTGACGTTTCTTAAGTTCTCTGGTGCTAAAGCTCCTAAGAGCGGGTGCAGACCTGCATCCCAAAAAAGGAGTCATTCATTTATTTGAAATGTATTGCGTGCCTACTGTGTGCCAGTCAGCATGGTAGCTCTAAGAATACACAGGCCCTTGGGTTGCACGTCAGCCCAATGTAAGGTACAGACAAAATTAATGGAATGAGACTCAGTGCTCTTCCTTTGAACCAAAACAAGGGAGGATGGGACGAGCAATAGACCAAGGTTCAGAGGCCTCTGCTCATGCTCTTCCTGCCCTGTGTCTGCCTAACTCCCATCCTCCTTCGAAACTCAGCCCTCT